TGTTTAAGACAGAGATAGATAGGTTCTTGATTGGTAAGGGGATCAAGGGTTATGGGGAGAAGGCAGGAGAATGGGGTTGAGAAACCTATCAGCTATGATCAAATGGTTGAACAGACTAAAATAGGCCAAATAGCCTAATACTGCTCCTAAATATCTTATGATTACATTTTTAAAAAAAGGTGGTGAGGTACACTCCAAAATTGTCAGTCGGTTTTGAAAAATCCTTTAAAAGTCAGAGATGGAGCAAGGCTCAGTGATGCAGTGAGAGAGAAATACGCAGAAAGCTCATTCTCACTTGACTAAAGAGCAATGTTTCCCAAAATGTTTCCCACTGTGGCCCCATTTCGAGGCTCTAATTTGTCATGCCTCCTGAGTAAGAGTGAGGGGGTGGAGGAAGAAACCTGCAAAAGCTGGTGGGAGCTCTCTGAGCACAGGTCATACCGGACAAGCACAGCTGCTATAATGAGTCAATTTTCCATGATGGTCATTGCTGCCACGGAGCTTGTGACTCCAAGGTTTCAGCTCATGACCTCCTTAGGGTCTGCACCCCCTCTTTGGGGAGCCCTGCTAATGAGGGAGGGCTGGGAGAAAAAAAATCAGGCAGGACTGGATATAAGCACAGAGGAGGTCAGAGGCAGGACTGAGGAAGGGGCCTGTGGGGAAGTGAGATGTGATAGTCGTGGTGGGATATGTAGGTGAGGATGAAGTTTTTTTTAATGGATTTATTGAGTGTTAAGGACCCCTACTGGCTCCAGATTTTTTTTAATGCCTTTTTTTTATACATTGATGCGATGTGGGTTCCACTGGCTGGATCAGCATTTATTACCCTAAGTTCCAGAGGGCAATTAGGAGTCAACCACATTGCTGTGGGATCATGCGATTGCATGTAGACCAGACCATAAGAGTCATAGGGCTGTACTGCACAGAAACAGGCCCTTCAGTCCAACTCATCCATGCTGACCAGACATCCTAAATAAATCTAGTCCCGTTTGCCAGCATTTGGCCCATATCCCTCTAAGCCCTTCCTATTCACATACCTATCCAGATGCCTTTTAAATGTTGTCATTGTACCCGACCCCACCACTTCCTCTGGCAGCTCATTCCATGCTCACACCACCCTCTGTGTGAACAATTTGCCCCATAAGTCCCTTTTAAATATTTCCCCTCTCACTTTAAACCTATGCCCTCTAGTTTTGGGTTCCCCCACCCTCGGGGGAAAAGACTTTGTCTATTTACCGTATCCATGCCCCTCATGATTTTATAAACCTCTATTAGGTCACCCCTCAGCCTCTGATGCTCCAGGGAAAATAGCCCCAATCTATTCAGCTTCTCCCTGTAGCTCAAATCCACCTACCCTGGCAACATTCTTGTAAATCTTTTTTGAACCCTTCAAGTTTCATAACATCCTTTCACAGCAGGGAGACCAGAATTGCACGCAGTATTCCAATAGTGGCCTAACCTGGTAAGGATGGCAGTTTCCCTCCCTAAAGGATATTAATGAACCAGTTTGGTTTCACAATCATCATTATTAACTCTTAATTCCACATTATTATTAAATTCAAATTCCATCATGTGACATGATTGGATTCGAACCGCAGTCTCTGGATTAATAGTCTAGCGACAATACTTCTTGGCTGTTGCCTCCCTGACTCGCTGCTCAGACATTCCATTTTTTTGCTTCTCCTCATTGAAACAACTTGGGGACATTAAAATAAAATAAAGGACTGTGCATGCTGGAAATCTGAGCCAAAAGTGGATGGCTACCACTCATGGCAATAAGCAACAGGTCTAAATAAGGATTAGGAATCAGCCCAGGCTTGGTGGGCTGAAGAGCCTGTTCCTGTGCTGTACTCTATTGTATTACATAGAAACAAAAATCTTTTTCAAGTCCAGTGACTGTTTTTCAATTCTGAAGCAGGGTCAACGGACTCGAAACGTTAACCATTTCTCTCTACAGACGCTGCCAGACCTGCTGAAATTCGGCCAGCAATTTCTGTTCTTGTTTCAGATCTCTAGCACCCATAGTTATTCATTTTATTCAAATGGAACATTTGTTTGACATCTGATGCAACACAAACATGAAATGAATTAACATGTTACAGTGTGTGTGTGAGACAAAATGTTGACCAGGATAACTGCACGTGTCCAATGAAAAGCATGAAATAGATTAATAAATTAGAGTAGGCACAATCAAACTTCTGATCTTCTCACCAGAAATATCAAGGACCATTTTATTCAAAATATGTTCAGCTACAGGGAACATTTCAGTATTGATAAGCAACAGCATCATAGTTAACTAAGTATTTTAAGATTCTGAAGAGAATACATTTCAGTCCTTCTAACTGTACTTCAAAGGCCATGTTGAATGTCCCATGCTAAATCATTTGTCACTTGCAAATTTCCGTGACAGGATGCTACCAAGATTGAAAAGCATGAAAGGAAGCTGAGATAAATCAGAAACCAGTGATTATCTAATGCCAACCAGAGCTTTAAAGGCCTGGAGGGGGAAGGAGAGACTTTTTTGGCAGAGTCATACAGTTCTGAGGGTTTACGCGGAATAAGAATGGATAGTTTTTAAATCAATACAATGAGGATACAGAGAGGAGGAAGATAAGGGTTTGCCAGAGCCTTAGTGGAACAAAAAAGGAAAGGTCAGCCATGCTATAATTGAGAGAGGGAAGAAAAATTGCAACAGGAAAGGAGAGAAGCCAAAAACCTGATGTATAATATAAAAGCTGAATGTGCTGGAGAAACTCAGCTGGGCTGGCAGCATCTATGGAGAGACAAAATTGAGTTAATGCTTTGAGCCTGGCTTCTTCAGAACCAAAAGAAGCTGGAAAATAAAGTAATCTTTACTTACATTCTGACATTAGTGGAAGGACCAGTCTGAGCTTTGCAATAATGTGTGTCACTAAAGGGCTCAGTCACAGGCATGGTGGGAAAGATGACCTCTAGATCAAGGGTCTAAATAATATCATCCAAGAACAGAAAACCAATTGTAGTCTGAACTTTCCATGGATTCAGTATTAGAACAGGCCATTCAACCCATCAAGTCTATACCCATGCCAGCCGCCATTGACTCCTGTGATCCAATCCTCCCAAATTACCTTTCCTGGCTCACTCCTCGTATCAGGTTGGAGCAAATTACTGCAGATGCAGGAATCTGAACTGAAAACAAAAAATGCTAGAGGTCACAGCAGGTCAGGCCAGCAATTTTGTTTTTATTCCTCGTATCCTTGTTCTTTCAAACTATTATTTCTTAAAGCTATGAATTAACCAAAGCATGGGGCCTTATTTAATGTCCAATGGTGCCCACTATGGTCTTGAATAGAATCTGTCGATGCTACCTGTTTGAGCTTGACTGAAAGTTAGTGCATAAACAATGACACAAAACCTAGAAGCCAACCTGTTATCTCGTAACTCAATTTCCTTTGATAATAAGCCTAATCACACAAAGATGCACACTGTTGCTGCTAGCATTGAGTTCAGAAAGTATCACTTATGAAACAGTTCTGAGGAAGGATCACTGGACCCGAAACACTAACTCTGTTTTTTCCTGCCAGACCTGCTGAGCTTTTCCAGCAACTTCTGTTTTTGTTCCTGATTTACAGCATCCGTAGTTCTTTTGGTTTTCACTTATGATAGCTTGATTTTGGGCAGAAAGTAGTCTCACTCAATGGAAAAAACAAATGCTGGAGATTACAGTGAGTCAGACAGCATTTGTGGAGAGACAGCAAGCTAATGTTTCGAGTCTAGATGACTCTTCATCAAAAATTCTCCGTATGGATGCTATCTGATTCGCTGTGATCTCCAGCATTTGCTGTTTTCGGTACAGATTCCAGCATCTGCAGTAATTTGCTCCTACCTAGCCTCACTCCATGTTTGTCCAAATGAAAATCCCTAACTAACCACAAGCCAAGGCTACTGTGTTCCTATTTTGGATGCATACGCAAATACTGGTGGAAAATGCCTTATGTATAACAGAGGTGAAAGTACTACACATGTGCAAATTCATTTATCTGCGGTCTACCGTGATTCAGTAACCAAGGATGTAAAGCACTCTCAATCACCAATAAAGCAGCTCCACACTCTGTTTCTCATTTTAAATCAGACCATTAAATGTACATAAAGGTTGAAATTCATGTGCACTGTACATGAATATGAGCAATGAGATCCCACAGCCACTGACTGTGTCCTTCACTCATTTCCTATTTGCTTAACAATTATACAATTAGCCACATTTGGATTTTCCAATGAACGGCATGTGGTTTGTCATTAGCATGTTGGACAACACTGGTTTAGTTGCTGAGTGGACTGCCTGGTAACACAGTCAGGAGTCTTCACGAGGAAGATGCCAGATACAATCCTTTGTTGTCTTTCCAGTTCAAATGCTGTAATTTCCTTCAGTCTCCTTAGGCTGGGGACAAAATCAGTCTGGGTCATAACTTGCTGGCGAGTGCTTGCAATCATCAAACATAGCATTCAATTGTGATGCTCCACATGGTCCACCAGCTTGATGTCTCCTCTGCAGAATGGCCAATGAGATGAGCTATTCGGTGACTGTGAGTGCCAATATAAATCTGGCCAAGAGAGACTTAATTATTCAGGAGAAGATAGTGAATTGAATGGAGTAAATAAAGTAAGGAAACTGTTGTGACTGAGCAATTTCATAAATCCCAAATCTATTCCCACCCTCTGAGCTTCTTGGCAAATGACAATCTCTCTATGTCTTTTTTCCCTTTAATTCTGTGTTAGGATGTACAATAGAGATCAGCTGACATAGAATACTGCATATTAATGAAGCAGAGATGCCAGGTTTATAAAATATATCAATGCTACACATCTTCTGCCAAACTGGCACTGCCAATGTGGATTGAACTGTTTGCTCATGAACTGTGACTCTGTGCCCAACATCATGTCAAACGCTCCCATTCAAATCTAGTTGTAAAATAATGTCCTATCTGTTTGGCTGTGGTAGCAATATCTATCGGTCATTGCACTTAATCCTGAAAGCGGTGTAAGAGTTCGCAGGTCTTTTTCTCAATGATTTCGTACATCTTTTTAATGCGTTTGTCAGTTACAGTCCGCACATAGCTCTCAGCATCCAGCACAGCCATTCCATCATAGACATCACCCATTATAAGGAGCGGTCCATCTGTCAGGTTAAAGTTTGGACAAGGGCAGTTCCAGTCCATGTTGATCATTATCACCTCCAAATGTTTGAAGTCAAAAAACTTAAGCCCCATTTTCTCATCCTTCAGCACCTCGTCCAGTGTAAACCTGGCAACTCCAGAGTCCTGTTCCTCGACAATCTCTGTCACCCTTCCCACAATGGCGTAGTCACTTTTGCAGAAGCTGGGAACTATCTTGTGACGGGGTCTGCACACTTTGCACTGCTGGCTTTTCGGGAAAGGGCAGGTCTCCTCACACACTTCCTTGCTCTCAAAATTATTCTTGTTGCCCTCACAGCCACCATAGACGAAAGCGTGGCACTGCTTCATCAGCGAATTGTAGGCCCACCGAGCCTCCCACATCTTGCAAGGACCCTGCACAGCAGGAAAGGTGCAGATATTGACTGACTCATTGATACAAGCCAATCGGCACTCTTCGTAGGTTTCAAACTGGTTCTTGCTGCCCTCACAGCCTCCAAACATGAATGTGGAGCACCTGCCCATCTTATGGTCATAGAACCATCTGACGTATTGACGACCACATTCCCCCTTGTCTGGATCTTTGAAGCACTCTCCAGATGGTAAAGGCTGGGTTTTCCTGGCAGTGCTCTCCCCAGAATGTTCCCGTCTGATGACTGACAATGGGAAGTCTGCTCTCAGGAGGCCAGCAGCATTCCTTGCAGTGCATGTGTAGATGCCTGCATCTTCCTGCTGGGTGTTGTAAATAACTAGCTGGCCGATATTGGTGACCACCACATTGGCATACATTTGATCGGGTCTCATGATGATATTTTCCAGGTAGTCACTCTGTTTCTCCCAGGTGATGTCTGGCCTTGGACGCCCACTGACGTCACAGTGAAAGCTCACTGTGCCTCCAATGTAGACGGACTGGTGGAAGGGGTTGGTGTAGAGAGCTGGAGGGATGGAGTCTTCCAAGGAGGTGGTTGATGTTGGGTTCACAGTGGTTTCTAAAGGCTGGGGGCTGGTGTTGGGCCAAGTGATGTGATACCGACAAGTCACCACTGTCAGGCTGATGCCCCTGATGCACGCCTCGGCATCCATGTAACATTTATTGTAGTAGGTCAGGCCATCGGAGGCGCAGGTGAAATTGGGCTCCTTCTCACACCTGTCCTTGCACTTACAAATGGGCTGTCCGTCCCAGATATCACACTCCGAGCCCTGCTGTGTGCACACAATCCTCTCGCACGTCGCCTCTTTGGGTAGGTCCAAGGACGCTAAGCTGCCATCTGCAAACCTTGCTGCCACACAGCTCTTCAGGCCACACACATTCGTGCAGCACTTCTCAAAGCTCTGACAATCCTGAAATCAGCAATGGGCACAGCAGTTACTTCGACAGCAATAGGCTGGTCACCGACCGGGGACAGATCCCCAATGTTGCTCTTTATTGACACACATTATATACATCTACTGAAACTCACACAATGGAATTAGGCAAAAGCACCATGTGTTCTCTCAATATCTCCAATAGTTTCATAGACATTTACAACATATAAAGCTCAGAATCTCTTATTAGCGTGGGGTAACATTGGGAAATTGAGGCATATAGACTGTCATGTCAAGAAGGATGTTCTATGATGTGCTTGCTATCGGCATGAGACCATTAGCTCTCCCATGTCTGCTGTGGTAACAGGGTGTCTATAGTCAAGATCCCAGGTTGAATGAAAGATGTGGGAAACGCAGAGGAGAAAATAAACTATCAGAGGGTCGAAAAGAAAGTCCATTGGTGGGAAAACTCATCATTCAGCCTCAGACCAAAGTTTGTCATCTATGCTAGCTGGGGAAAGGAGTGCTACCCATCAATCTGTCTCTACAGTCACAAAAGTATTCAACCCAGGTGGGGTACTCACCATGGTCAAAGTCTCCCAAAATGGACGGATGCCATCATAAGATCAAGGAAGCCCTTATGCACAGGTAACAAATGTATTTAATATCCTCTGAATTTCATTTTTTTTCTGCAAATGTGTTAATCTCTGCTTTCAAATGTGCCTCTGATTAAGAAACTGATGCATAATCCTTCAATTACATTACACAGAGTGGTAGATGTTTGGAACAGTCTCTTCCACAAATGGCAGTGGATGCTGGATCAGTTGTTAATTTTAAATCTGAGATAGATTAATTCTTGTTAAGCAAAGGTATTAAGTGATTTGGACCAAAGGCAGGTATATGGAGTTAGGCCATAGATCAGCCACAATCTCACTGAAAGGCAGGAGTTATGCTTTTTTTTGGAATACTAGTTCAATTCTGGCCTCCCTGCTACAGGAAGGATATTGTTAAACTTGAAAGGGTTCAGAAAGGATTTACAAGGATGTTGCCAAGGCTCAAGGATTTGAGCTACAGGGAGAGGCTGAATAGGCTGGGGTATTTTCCCTGAGGGGTGAGGTTATAGACGTTTATAAACTTATGAGGGGCTTGGATAGGGTGAACAGACAAAGTCTTTTTCCCAGGGTAGGAGAGTCCAAAACTAGAGGGCATAGATTTAAGGTGAGAGGGGAAAGATCTAAAAGGGACCTGAGGGGTAACTCTTTCATGCAGAGGGTGGTGTGAGTATGAAATGAGCTGCCAGACAAAGTGATGGAGGCGGGTACAATTATAGCATTTAAAAGGCATCTGGATGGGTTTAGAGGGATATAAGCCACACACCAAGTGGGACTAGATGAGGAAATCTGGCTGGCATGGACGAGTTGGACCGAAGGGTCTGTTTCTATGCTGTACATCTCTATGACTATTAGTCTATAACAGGTTCAAGTGACTGAATGGCCTACTCCTGTTCCTATGTTCCTATATTGGTTCAGACTAAAACAAAACACCCCACTCTATTTGAATACATTGACTGAATATTATTGAAATGCTCTTTGCTTTTTGGCCACTTTGACATGTTCCACTATTCATTTAGGTCATGGCTGATGCGTAACTGAACTCCACATTTCTACCTTTAATTCTACCTTTGTATTCTTTCGTGGGACATGAGTGTCACTGTCGAGGTCAGCATTTTTGTTACCAGTCTTGTGTTTAGAATATGGAACAAGTCATGGGAAAGAAAGAAGGCACATTTACATTGTGAATTTCACAATATTCCAAAAAAAACTTTACAAACAGCTGTTCTAAAGTTGGTAATGTGGCAGGCAATTTGTAAAAAAGTCAACATGACCAGCTAATCTATGGTTGTGATTTTTGATTGAGGAATAGATATTGGCAGCTGGGAGATGATGATGCAAGATTGTTGGTATAGAAAAAGATGGCACTTATGTGGCACCTTCCACGCCAACTCAATCTGCTTTACTACAATTACAACTGTAATTTTGAAATGTCTGAAGAGGTAATGAATATTGACTGCAGGATGGTGTAGTGGCAATATTACTAGATTAGCAATCCTCATTGTACTTGAGCTGAGTGACTTGCTAAACATGTTAGTGGGCCACTGATATGACCATGTTATTGTGGATCTGGAGTGACATGTAGGTCAGACTAGGCCTGGATCACAGATTTCATTCCCTAAAGGAAATTAATGAACAAAATGAGTTTTCACAACAAACCGATTATAGTTGACATGACCATGTCACTGCTGGTCAGCTATCAAGCTTTATTTTTTAATTTATTAAATGGAATGAGTATATTAATTTATTAACAACTGAACTCAAATTCCACCAAATGCCATGATGGCATTTCAACACGTGTTCCTAGAGCACAAGCCTGAGTCTCTAGATTACTCATCCACTGATATTGCCATCACATCACCCTGTAGACAATATCTGTCTCTCAACCTGCAAATCACTAAAACAAAAGATTGGCTGGTCACATTCTGATTTGTGCAAATTGGCTGTCACATTTTTCACATTACAACAGCTGTTTGTAAAATAGTTTTGGGACAAGGGAAAGACACTATATAAATGTGATTTCTTTCTTTTCTGTGAGTTATTCTATATTCTAAACACAGCACTAGGAACAATATTCAGAGAAAGAAACAAGTTCTGTTATTTCAGAATTCCAAAATTCCAAAAAGGCAAACTAGATAGTTTCATTACACTTTACTCAGGAACTGCACATGTATTCAGAAAATTCCCTGTAAATCATGAAGATTGAAGACCCAGTAGGTTACTGAAGAGCTCTACCTAATGGCTATCAAGGCAGATCAAAAGAAAAAACTCTTCCCCTTTGACAAAGAAAATTTAAGTCTCCTTTGTGTATCACAAAAGTGAAAATCAACAAATGACAATTTGTAAACTGTATCTACATCACAAACATTTGACAAAAGCCAGCATCAAGCTAAATTTGAACCAGTTTGGGAAAGAGCTCTGCAATATCATGGATAAGCAATAACTTATGCTCTATTGCTTAGATCACAGAAACCTGTTAGACAGACTTCTGTTACAGCACTTGTATGTTGTACCTCATCTGCTCTGCAATTCCTTTCGCAGGTGCTCTGTGCATCCACCCACAGGCCAGGCTCGAGATGGTTTGGACAAGCATGGAAGAGTTTTGCTTGGGGATGTCCAGTGTCCTGTGTTAGGGTCAACAAAGGTAACAGCCCCAGCATGGTTACCAAGGTCCTGGGCTGAACGCCAATTCCAGGTTTCCTTGTTAGCACTGGTCCCAATCCATTTCTGGCCCACACAAAGAAGTAAATGTCTCCACGCATGTTTGAGCCTAACAAAAAGTTTCCTAAACTTTGCTCTAACTTTTTTGTTTTAAAAAAGTGAGGGGAAAGTCAGCAATCAGGCAGTTTAAAAATAGGCTGTTCATTGGTTGATGAGGCATAAAGGACTGTAACCCGAGTAGAGTCCATTGAAAAGATACAAAGTGGAAGTGTCAACGTAAAACTTTTCATCCAGACTTTTTACTCAGTAAAAACAACATAACAGGGGATGTAGTAAATGAAACACAGTTTTCATTCAAATAAGAAGTGACTAAAAACATCAGCCTGAATCAAATAATGCTTTTTCTGACTTTTAGAAGTTTACTTAAAAATAAGATTAGTGGTCTTACCTTAATCAGACAGAATTTACACAGCAGGAACAAACTATTCTTCCCAACTTAAGTTTCACTTAAGTTTCCTCCCACTTTTATCCCACCCAGTGAATATCCTTTCCCACTCCTGCCTGATTGTTAAAATTTCGTGTTGCATAGCTAGAGATCTTATGGAACTTTAAATCCATTTAAAGCTGCAAATAATTTCAGTACTGAGGAGAATGTTTAAGCTTGGGCATTGTCCTAAATGACTTAAAGGCACAAAACTGCCACAGCACTGAGTAAGCAGAATAGTTCCTGATTGAGTGAAGGTGCATGTCACATAACAAAACAAACCTTAATGTAAAATAGTGTCAATTTGATAGTTTTTCTCGGGTGAATACGCAACCTGAATTATATAGGGCAGAAGGTCATAATCACTGTCTGATAAGTTTTGCAGAGGTAACATCTATTGATAGCACAGTGGCTCAGTGGTTAGCACTGCTGCCTCACAGTGCCAGGAACCTGGATTCAATTCCACCTTCGGGCGACTGTCTGTGCAGAGTTTGCACATTCTCCCTGTGTGGGTTTCCTCTGGGAGCTCCGGTTTCCTCCCACAGTCCAAAGATGTGCATGCTAGGTGGATTGGCCATGCTAAATTGCCTGTAGTATTCAGGAATGTGTAGATTAGGTGGGTTAAAGGGGAATGGCTCTGGGTGGGATGCTCTGAGGGTCAGTGTCGACTTGTTGGGCCGAAGGGCCTGTTTCCACACAGTAGGGATTCTATGATAAACAGAAATTGCTGGAAAAACTCAGCAGGTCTGGCAGCATCTGTGGAGAGAAATCAGTTTACTTTTTGGGTCCAGTGACCCTTTTTCAGAACATGTCAAATGATTTCAGAAGGGTCACTGGGCCCGAAACATTAACTCTGATTTCTCTCCACAGATAATGCCAGACTTTCTAAATTTTTTCAGCGATTTCTGTTTTAGTTTCTGATTTCCAGCATCCATAGTTCTTTTGGGTTTTTATCACATCTGTCATATATGTGAATATAGGAACGTATCATGTAAAGGATTAATAGGATGCAGATGCAAAATCTTCAGTATAGAAAGAAATGTATTTGTATAGAACCTTCCATGTCAGCTCAATATGCTTTACAATTACAACGGCAATTTTGAAATCATAGAATCCCTACAGTGTGGAAACAGGCCCTTCGGCCCAACAAGTCCACACTGACCCTCAGAGCATCCCACCCAGACCCATCGCCCAATAACCCACCTAATCTACACATCCCTGAACACTATGGACAATTTAGCATGGCCAATCCACCTAACCTGCACATCTTTGGATTGCGGGAGGAAACCGGAGCACCCGGAGGAAACCCATGCAGACACAGGGAGAATGTGCAAACTCCACACAGACAGTTGCCTGAGGGTGGAATTGAACCCAGGTCCCTGGTGCTGTGAAGCAGCAGGGCTAACTACTGAGCCACCGTGCTGCCCAACAATTAGAGGTCCCACCGAGATGCACGGAAATGCACAGAAAGGTCGCACCAAAATGTCACTTAACAAATGTAGACTTTTGGCTGAAATATCTCCCTTAATTTTCAAACCATATGATGGGATCCAGCTGAGAGGATAAACATGGCCATTTAATCCTCCCAGGATGGTGGCATCTCTGGCTGTAGGACTCCATTAGAGTGGTGGAGTAAGCTTCAGGGGCTGAATGGTTTACCTTTTCTATTTTATATATTTGTATACATGAACATGGAAAGACTCCAGTAACCAATGTGACAGGTAATTCAGGCACGGCCTGCATTTTCCAGTCCAGAAAATATAGCACTGCAGGTCACAGATACTCCTGAATCTTAGGTTTAATATTTCATTTAGACATTTTTTCACACTTTTGGACACCTTCTCCAAGGTCTCATCCTGTTTTTCCTGAAAACTACAAAATAATGCACAGAATGATTGATGTGGATAAGCCAATTCACAAATAGTGAAGAGGTGACTGACAGGGCTTTACTGTGGCTGGAATGTGTGTGTATCGAAATACGTCTGTGTCTATGTATGTGCATGCACATATCTTGTGGCTCTGCGCAAACATTTAAGTGTGTGTGTATATATGTGAGCATGTAGCGATTGGAACAATGTAATTCAGGTGGATCTCAGATTATGAACTCCCTGATTGGGGTTGTTAAGCTGATCCTAATAGGAGTGTCAGGGGTTCTGCTCATTCTGGGAGCCGGCTTTGAGCTATTTGGGTCATGGTCATGTACTCTGCACATGCAAATAAAGGGTGACTTGGTGACAAGATATCGGCCTTTATGAAGTTATTTCAGAACACATATGTCTTGTGTGGCTGTGTACCTGCATGTGTGTGTGCATATATATGTATGTATGTCTTGTGTGTCTGTGTACAGAAATGTATGTGTATGACTTGTGTGTGTCTGTGTATACATGTGTGACTGTGTATGTACATACATGTGTGCATATGTATGTGTGTGTGTGTCTATGATGCTGTACAGATGTGTGCTGAGGGATGCATATTTTATAAGAGGAGGGCACATGTCTTAACAATTGTTTCTCTCAGAGCAACCTGAAATTAAACAACAATGTTGATAAACAAAGTTCTATCAACTAGGTTCCCTGACTTGACAAAACCAATATATTTACTATAGAAGATGAGACAACAAGGTGTAGAGCTGGATGAACACAGCAGGCCAAGCAGCATCAGAGGAGCAGGAAGGCTGACGTTTCGGGCCTAGACCCTTCTTCAGAAATGGGGGAGGGGAAGGGGGTTCTGAAATAAATAGGGAGAGAGGGGGAGGCAGATAGAAGATGGATAGAGGAGAAGATAGTTGGAGAGGAGACAGACAGGTCAAAGAGACGGGGATGGAGCCAGTAAAGGTGAGTGTAGTTCCTACTACCAGTTCCTACTGTCTCTTAAACAGATTTACTATAGAACACTGGTGTCAATTCAACACTCTGCAGCCTGAGCAATATGTTCATAGAGAAGCAATGAAACTGATATTGCTGAATTCTTACTTAGCTAATTGGCTCTGAAGAGAGGTTTGAGAAATTCATATCCCTATACCCAGGATAAAGTTGGGGGTGGGGGGGTTGGTGGCGGTGGGGGGTGTTGGTGGTGACAAGCAAGGGTTAACCAAATGAAATAATGGAATCTTACAGAACAGAACAGGACCATCCAGTTCATCATGTTTGTGTTGGCTGATTGTAAGCGATATTCAATTAGTCCCACTCTGCTCCTTCCTCATAGTCCTGCAATTAGGGTGAGCAGTTTGTTTTCAGCCCATATGATTTGTAATTATAAAGTGTAATCTGTAATTACACAAGGATTTATCTTGCATGTAAGGTGTTAGCCCTGTCTCCATGATAACTCTTCTGTTTTTGAATCAGGTTGTTATGCATTAAGCTCCCATCTTGGAATGTGACCACACAATCTAATAGGCACTTTGCAATCATACACACACACACACACACACACACACACACCTGTATATACACACAAACACGAGCTTGCTCGTCCGTTCAATAAGATCATGGCTGTTCTGTTCATGTTTTAAATTTCATAATCTCATCTGCTTTCAATGATGTTAGATTCATGTTACACAAAAGAATCAATCCCCCTCCATCTTAGCTTCAGCAATTCTACCTCCATTGCATTCTGAGGCAATGAATTCCAAAGTTGCACAATCTTCTGCAATAACAGGGTGGCATGGTGGCTCAGTGATTAGCACCACTGCCTCACAGCGCCAGGGACCCGAGTTTGATTCCACCCTCAGACGACTGTCTGTGTGGAGTTTGCACATTCTCCCCGTGTCTGCATGGGTTTCCCCCGGGTGCTCTGGTTCCCTCCCACAGTCCAAAGATGTGCAAGTTAGGTGGATTGGCCATGCTAAATTACCCGTAATGTCCAAGGGTGTGTAAATTAGGTGGATTAGCCATGGGAAATGCAGGGCTACATGAAAGGGTCTGGGTGGGATGCTCTTTAAAGAGGCGGTATGGACTTGTTGAGCCAATGGGCCCGTTTCTGCACTGTAGGGATTCTGTGAAATCTTCCCTGTCCTCTCCGGGCAAAGCATAATTTTAACACAGTTCATTTTAGTTCTGTACTCACACTTCAATGGAAATATCATTTCCACATCCACCTTGGTAAGACCCGTCAGGATCTTACACACTTTGACTAAGCCACTAATTGCCTTCTGTTGGAGAGCTTTATAATAAGGGTAAATGTTATGACCAGGTGAGGAGGGGGTCACAGTTTCTCTTTTTTTTTAAGACCTTCTAAGAGAAAACAAATAGTTTTAAAAATTGCTTTTCTCTCTTTTTGCACCAACTTGCACACTTCAGTTAAACTTTGTTGTCAAAAGGTAAAAAGGCAATTTCGATGTTTCCTTCAGTGAAAGAGTGACATTTTATCGACTGAAGAAATTAACAAAATTCAACAACAAACACACGCACAGATATAGGGCCTGCATACTAAAGGTGTCAGAGTGATTGGCACAAAACAGGAAGGTAATGACAGACGCAGTACAGTTTAATTTACATTTTTTTTGGATTTGTATTTGAAAGGATCTGAATCCAATTGTTTAGCAGGGGTCTTGTTTTATTGGTAATAGTGAAGGTGCAGATGTACTAAAATTCTCAGTTTCTGATGTTACAAATTACT